TTCTGTTTTTGTTTTGTTTTTTTGAGATGGAGTCTCACTCTGCTGCCCAGGCTGGAGTGCAGTGGCGTGATCTTGGCTCACTGTAACCTCCGCCTCCCAGGTTTAAGCGATTCTCCTGCCTCCCAATTAGCTGGGACTACAGGCGCCTGCCACCATGCCCGGCTAATTTTTTGCATTTTTAGTAGAGATGGGGTTTCACCGTGTTAGCCAGGATGGTCTCGATCACCTGACCTCGTGATCTGCCCGCCTCAGCCTCCCAACATGCTGGGATTACAGGCGTCAGCCACTGAGCCCAGCAGTCATATGGTTTATTTTGACTACTCGACTCTGCTGTGTCAGTATGTAAATGAATGAGCTAGCTTGCATTCCAAAAGAACTTTATTTATGGAGCTTGAAATATGAATTTTATATATTTTCACTTGCCATATAATATTATCCTTCTTTTGCTTTTTAGAAACTGTTTAAAAATGTTAAGACCGGCCGGGCACGGTGGCTCAAGCCTGTAATCCCAGCACTTTGGGAGGCTGAGACGGGCAGATCACGAGGTCAGGAGATCAAGACCATCCTGGCTAACACGGTGAAACCCCGTCTCTACTAAAAAAATACAAAAAGTCTAGCCGGGCGAGGTGGCGGGTGCCTGTAGTCCCAGCTACTCGGGAGGCTGAGGCAGGAGAATGGCGTAAACCCGGGAGGCGGAGCTTGCAGTGAGCTGAGATCCGGCCACTGCACTCCAGCCTGGGCGGCAGAGCGAGACTCCATCTCAAAAAAAAAAAAAAAGTTTGCCAGGCATGGTGGCATGTGCCTGTGGTCCTAGCTACTCAGTAGGCTGAGGTGCAAGGATCACTTGAGCCAGGAGGTCGTGGCTACAGTAAGCCATGATCATGCCACTGCACTCCAGCCTGGGTGACAGAGCAAGACCTTGCCTCAAAAAAAAAAGGGTAGAGATTGTTAGATTGAATAAAAAAGCAAAGGCCAGGGGTGGTGGCTCATGCCTATAATCCTAGCACTTTAGGAGGCTGAGGCAGGTGGACTGCTTCAGCCCAGGCATTCAAGATAAGCCTGGGCAACATAGCAAGATCCTGTCTCTATTAAAAAGAAAGCAAAACCCAATTATACATGGTCTACAAGAAACACCCTTTAGATATAAATAAATTACCCAGACATGGTGGAGCAAACCTGTAGTCCTAGCTACTTGGGAGGTTGGGGTAGGGGGATGGCTTGGTAGGAGTTCAAGACTGCAGTGAGCCATGATTGAGACACTGTATCGAGCCTAGGTAAGACCCTGTCAATAGGCAGGCAGGCAGGTAGGTAGGTAGGTAGGTAGATAGATAGATAGATAGATAGATAGATAGATAGATAGATAGAGATAGACAGAGATAGACAGAGAGAGAGAGAGAGAGAGAGATACAGATGATAGATAGATAGACAGACAGACAGAAATACAAATATTTTTAGGCCAGGTGTGGTGGCTCACACCTGTAATCCCAGCACATTGGGAGGCCGAGGTGGGTGGATCACTTTAAGTCAGGAGTTCGAGACCAGCCTGGCCAACATGGTGAAATCCCATCTCTGCTAAAAACACAAAAATTAGCCGGATGTGGTGGTGCACGCCTGTAATCCCTGCTATGCGGAAGGCTGAAACATGAGAATTGCTTGAACCTGGGAGGCAGAGGTTGCACCAAACTGAGATCATTCCACTGTACTACAGCTTTGGTGACAGAGCAAGACTCCAGTCTCAATAAAAAAGAAAAAGAAAAAAAATACTGAATTAGGCCGGGTGTGGTGGCTCATGCCTGTAATCCCAGCACTTTGGGAGGCCAAGATGGGCAGATCATTTGAGGTAAGGAGTTTGAGACCAGCCTGGCCAACATGGTGAAACCCTGCCTCTACCAAAAAATTACAAAACTTATCCGGGGGTGGTGGCACCCCCCTGTAATCCCAACTACTCAGGAGGCTGAGGCAGGAGAATCACTTGAACCCAGGAGGACAAGGTTGCAGTGAGCGGAAACTGTGCCACTGCACTCCAGCCTGGGCGACAGAGTGAGACTCCAACTCAAAAAAATAACAAAGCATACTGAATTAAATGAAAATAAAAATACAACATACCAGAATTTGAGAGATATTGCTAAAACAATATTGCTAAACAATAGTCAGGAGCAAATTTATAGCACTCAATACCTATACTGGAAAAGAGGAAAAAAGAAAGGTCTCAAATCAATGATCTCAACTTTCACCTTAAGAAACTACAAAAAGAAGAACAAATTAAAGCCAAAGTAAGCAGAAGAATGAACATAATAAAAGTCAGAACAGCCTGGCATGGTGGCTCATGCCTGCAATCCCAGCACTTTGGGAGGCTGAGGCAGGCAGATCACGGGGTCAAGAGTTCGAGACCAGCCTGGCCAACATGGTGAAACCCCATCTCTACTAAAAACACAAAAATTAGCCAGGCATGGTGGTGTGCGCCTGTAATCCCAGCTACTCAAGAGACTAAGGCAGGAGAGGCCGGGCGCGGTGGCTCAAGCCTGTAATCCCAGCACTTTGGGAGGCCGAGATGGGTGGATCATGAGGTCAGGAGATCGAGACCATCCTGGCTAACACGGTGAAACCCCGTCTCTACTGAAAAATACAAAAAGCTAGCCAGGCGAGGTGGCGGACGCTTGTAGTCCCAGCTACTCGGGAGGCTGAGGCAGGAGAATGGCGTAAACCCGGGAGGCGGAGCTTGCAGTGAGCTGAGATCCGGCCACTGCACTCCAGCCTGGGTGACAGAGCGAGACTCCGTCTCAAAAAAAAAAAAAAAAAAAAAAAAAAAGAGACTAAGGCAGGAGAATCGCTTTAACCTGGGAGGCGGAGGTTGTGGTAAGCTAAGATCGCGCCATTGCACTCCAGCCTGGGTGACAGAGCAAAACTCCATCTCAAAAAATAAATACATACATACATACATGTTTAAAAAATTAGCCAGGCATGGTGGTGGGCACCTGTAATCCCAGCTACTGGGGAGGTTGAGGCAGGAGAATTGCTTGAACCCAGGAGATGGAGGTTGCAGTGAGTCAACATGGTGCCACTGCACTCCAGCTTGGGCGACAGAGTGAAACTCCATTTCAAAAAAAAAAAAACCGGCCGGGCGCAGTGGCTCAAGTCTGTAATCCCAGCACTTTGGGAGGCCGAGATGGCGGATCACGAGGTCAGGAGATCGAAACCATCCTGGCTAACACAGTGAAACCCCGTCTCTACTAAAAAATACAAAAAACTAGCCAGGTGAGGTGGCGGGCGCCGGTAGTCCCAGCTACTGGGGAGGCTGAGGCAGGAGAATGGCTTAAACCCGGCAGGCGGAGCTTGCAGTGAGCTGAGATCCAGCCACTGCACTCCAGCCTGGGCGACAGAGCGAGACTCCATCTCAAAAAAAAAAGCCAGAACAGAGACCAATTAAATAGAAAGTAAAAAAAAAAAAAAAAAAAAGAAACCAAAATTAAGTAATGAAATGTAATGAAAATTAACAAGACTAGGATGGTTCTTTGAAAAGATAAATATTTATTCAGTGCCTCCTGGGTCAGGCACTGCTTGCATCACTGGGCATACAGCAGTAAACACAACAGACAAAAAACCCAGTACAGTCCCTCATCTGGGCTTTGCAACTGCAGTTCCTTCTCCCTGAAATGCTCTTATCCTGTTTATCTATTGCCTCATTTTCCTGCTTTATTTTTCTCCAAAACCTCTGACTTTATTTCCTTCTCTTACTTTCTATGTTTCTTTCTTTCTGCGTGTCTTTCTTTGTTTCTTCCTGTCTTTCTGTTTCTTTCCTTCCTTGCGGTCTTATCTGTTTATTTAGCTCCACTAAAATGTATGCTCCACAAGCGCTTAAGTTTTTGTCTGTTTTCTCCACTGCCTTTATCACTAGCACCTAAAACGGAACCTGGAACGTGGTACTATGTAAAGAATATTTGTTTAACAGATGAATCCTTGGTCTCGTGGAGCTTACATTCTTTTTTTCTATTTTCCTATTTTTCTTTTTTTTTTTTTTACTTTAATTAGGAATTCAACATAGAAGAGCTTACATTCTCTCTCTTTGAATTTAAGATTTGAAGAACCCTGCTCAGAAGACAGGATCTTAGAGTCAGGGACCAAGCATTAATCTTGGAAATCAAACTCTATGGCTCAAATCAGGAACTAAGAATCAAAGATCATATTTGGAGGTTAGAAGTGAGGAGAAGCCACAGTTCTAACAAAAGTCTCAGGACTGGAGTCAGGTTTGGGTATCAGTGGATACAATGTGGATTCCAGGAGCTGAGAATCATAGTTCAAGAAAAGAAGGTCAGAATTGATTGGGTGAGGATCATAGCTGGATAGCAGATTGGTTTTGTTAAAAGTTAGGGCTCGGGGGTTAGAGGTCAGGAAGTTCAGCATCGGAAGTCAGATTTAGGAGTGTGAGGTTAGGAAGCCTCAGGGATCAGACACTAATGGAGAATCAGATGCTGGGTCCTAGGGCTCCGTTTGGCAGCCTAAAGTTCACTCACGTGTCCCCATCCTCAGTGACGTAGCCGAAGACGAGGGGAGCCCACGAAAGCCCCGGGCCCAGCTCCGCGCCCAATCCCGGTCCTCCAGGGGCCGCTGCGTCCGGACCCAGGGAGCCGAGGCCGCTGTCGCACCATTCATCTGCGTCGGCAGCTTTTCCCAAGCACGCGACCCCAGCCATGGCCCCCGCCACCTCAGGAGCCCCTCGCAGTCGCCCGCCTGTAGCTGGGCTTTGCCGGGAGTTCTGGCGCTTCCGCCCTGCGGGAAATTCCCCACCACGCCCCCTGATTCATCCAATGATAATATGTTGAATCGCTCACACCCGCCCCCGTGCCGCATGCTGACCAATCAGAGTATTCGAGAGGTCTACGACTCTCTAGCCGTTCCCACATTTTCCGGGCGCCCTTTACCAACATGGCTGCTGACGCCATGACTTCTGGGACTCGTAGTCCGGTCCTCGCGCGCTTTCTTACCTAACTGGGGCGCTCCGGGTGTCGTAGAAAAGCGCGTCTGCGGCCGCAATGTCTGCTGGGAGTTGTAGTTCAGTGCCCTATCCCGGCCACTCCCATTTCTGGTGCCGTCACGGGACAGAGCAGTCGGTGACAGGACAGAGCCGTCGGTGACGGGACACAGTGGTCGGTGACGGGACAGAGCGGTCGGTGACAGCCTCGAGGGCTTCAGCACCGCGCCCATGGCAGAGCCGGACCGTGAGTCGGGAATCCGGGTGGGAGGGTCGGGCCGCGCCGGGGCCTGATTGAAGGCTGCAGGCCCCGGGGCCCAAGGGCGGCCGCAGTGGGGCGGGAAGTAGGGAGCGCTTCGGGGAGTGGGGTTCTGAGGGTTGTTGCTAAGCGATCTATATCGCTAGGCTGGTGGGTTTCTGGGTCGCAGGGTGTTCAGGGTTCGTTTACCACATCCACTTGCCAAGTTGCCAATGATCGCGTGTTTCTCACACCTTGGTTGCTAAGGACCCTCGCTGCAAAGAACATAAGTTGCCCCGGTCCCGGTTGCTAAGGGTACCTGATTGTTAGAGGCAACCAGAGGATGCTGAGGGACCCCTGCTGTCCCCTTCTATGGCTTCCCCTTGTTCCGCACCTCTCCTAAACCTACCGCCTCCACTGCACCACTGCACCTCCCTCCTAAACCTGCCTCCCAGCCAAAGCGTGCCTTCTCTTCTAAACTTCCTTTCTAAACTTCCCTCTGCCTTGTAAATCTAACCCTTTCCGCACACACACTTATACACTGTCGTGTCCTTCCTAACTCCTCCTGAGTGTTCCTTTATGCCCTGAATCCCTTAGGTAGGAGGAGGAGGATCGCTTGAGCCCAGGAGTTTGAGGCTGCAGTGAGCTATGATCGCACCATTGCACTCCAGCCTGGGTGACATGAGCGAGACCCTTTCTCTAAAAAGTAAAAAAGAAAGAAAGTAAGTCAGGGCCAGACACAATGGCTCATGCTTGTAATCCCAGTACTTTGAGAGGCCAAGGTGGTTGGATCGCTTGAGCCCAGGAGTTCAAGATCAGCCTGGGCAAAAGCCCCTACTTTCTCCCGCTCCTTCTAAATCTTCCTCTCCAGCCTCTCTGCCCCTCACTAATCACCTCTCCCGGCATCACTTTGCATGCCGATAAGATCTTTTCTCCGGCCCCTCCCTCCCTGTGCTCCATTTTTACCACCATCCCGTCCCAGTGTAACTCGGTTGGTGGGTGTTCTGGCCCCTCACTGACCATTTGAATCCCTTTATTCCCCACTTAATCATTCTCCCCACTGTAACCACCTCTGCTCCCCTCCCTCAGCCTCTCACCCTCTGGAGACCCAGGCAGGGAAGGTGCAGGAGGCTCAGGTGAGATGGGCGAAAGGGTGGAGGGGAGGAGAGAGATGGACTCGTTCCACAGCCCGCACGGGGGGGAGGTGGCAAAGGGGAGACAGTCACCCCACGGCCCTCGGCTCATTGCCCCCATCCCTCACACCACCCAATGTAGCTTTCTGGGGAAAGGCGGATTCTGGGGATTGTCAGAGAAGCGTTTCCAGCCTCAAGTCCAGGCCTGCCCTCCCAAACTTTCCTCCTTCCTCGCCACTGCATGCCATCCCTTCTGAACCAAATTTGTCCTGGGCCTGGAAGAGACAGGTCGGTCTTGGAACGCACAGATCTCGTGGACAAGTGATGGGAAAAAAATTATCTCACACTGTGATGATAAAAGTAACTCAGGGGGCCAGGTGCAGTGGCTTATGCCCGTAATTCCAATAACTCAGGAGGCTGAGGCGTGAGGATCGCTTGAGCCCAGGAGTTTGAGGCTGCAGTGAGCTATGATTGCATCGTTGCACTCCAGGGTGAAAGAGCAAGACCCTTTCTCTAAAAAGTAAAAAAGAAAGAAAGTAACTCAGGCCAGACACAGTGGCTCATGCTTGTAATACCAGTACTTTGGGAGGCTGAGGTAGGAGGATCGCTTGAGCCTAGGAGTTCCAGACCAGTGTGGGCAACATAGAGAGGCCCCAAAAAATCTAAAAATTAGCCATGTGCAGTGGTACATGCCTGTAGTGCCAGCTACTCGTGAGGCTGAGTTGGGGAAGGATTGCTTAAGCCCAGGAAGTTAAGGCCGTAGCATGCCATGATTATGCTACTGCTTTCCAGCCTGGGCGACAGAGCAAGACACGGTCTCAAAAAAAAAAAAAAAAAAAAAGGAAGAAAAGTAAAGAAACTCAGGGCACGGTGGGAGCACAGAGAAAAACTTTCTGGGTCAAAGAAGATTCCAGCCAGGCCATTCCCTGGAGGAATCCACAGGCTGGTCTAGCTGTCAGACCAAGATACAGACACAGTATAAGTGAAGAGTGACTTAGAATTTTCTTAGACAAGGTGAGAAATGGTGATCCACACGACAGGTATCGCTTGTGCAAAGACCTGGGGGCATGAAGGAGTGTGATGTGTTCCGTAACCGGGTGGCTGGTAGTGGTCAGCTCGTTATAGTCATGGTTAGCATTTACTGATGGCTTGCTCCAGCTGTGCACACTGTTTAGTGCCAAACTTGCCTCATCTCACTTCATCTTTCTGGCATCCCTGTGAAGAGAAATGCCTATCATGGCCATTTTACAGATGCAGAATTTGAAGCAGAGTTGTTAAGTCACTTGTCCCCTGTCCCTCGGCTAGAGGAGCAGGGAAAGGTTTGAGTCCCCCCCAGCACTGGGCACACTGACTGTCAGAGGCTGCCAGGAGAGGTGGACAGGCATTCTCGTAGGAGTTTGAAGGCCCCCCATCAGCACCTCCAGCTCTCCCTTAGGCCAAGCTGCCGATACATGCTGGGCACAGGCCTTCCACACAGCCTCACTGTGTATAGCCCACAAGAGTGCCAGCCCACCCACACCCCCAAGATTGCCTTTCAGACGTGGGGTGGTGCAGAAGCGGGCATCAGAATACCTCACAAATGCACAGTGGAGCCTTGCTGAGGATATAAGAGCCTCCTGTTAGGCTGTGGCAACTCACTCGCCTGGCCCCCAAAGCACGACCAACGTCAGATAAAAAGGTTGAATGTTAAAAAGGATCCTCAGTCCCAAAGAGAGAGATGCGAGGATGTCAAATGCAGCATTGTCCGTCACAGGGCAAAACTGGAGACAGTCCAAATGGCTGTTAGTGGATGGGTTAAATGAACTATGGTTCATCCATATAATCCAATACTATGTGGCTGCTCTGAAAAATGAGGTGAAGCTGGGCACGGTGGCTCACACCTGTAATCCCAGCACTCTGGGAGGCAGGAGGATCACTTGAGCCCGGGAGTTCGAGACCAGCCTGGGCAACATAGCAAAATGCCGTCTCTTTTTTAAAAATTATCTTTAAAATTAGGTAGGTCCGTAGCATATCGTTCTGCAGAAAACTCAAGATGTTGTACTATGACCTATTTCTGTAAAAATTATTAGTTTTATGCAGCGGAAACTGGAGTAATTACCATTAAGCTTAGCTAACAGTGGTTATCTTTATAAGGCATGTGCCCCAAGTCATATGTTGTTGAAGTACACGCGAGTGTCGTCAAGGTTTTTGCAGAGGTTGTCCAATCTCTCTCTCTCTCTCTCTCTCTCTCTCTCTCATTTTCACTCTCTCTTCTCTCTCTCTCTTCTTTTGAGATGGAGTCTCACTCTGTCACCCAGGCTGGAGTGCAGTGGCGCGATCTCAGCTCACTTCAACCTCCGCTTTCCAGGTTCAAGCCATTCTCCTGCCTCAGCCTCCTGAGTAACTGGGACTACAGGCGCCTGCCACCACGCCTGGCTAATTTTTTGTATTTTAGTAGAGATGGGGTTTCACCGTGTTGGCCAGGATGGTCTCGATCTCCTGACCTCGTGATCCACCCGCCTCAGCCTCCCAAAGTGCTGGGATTACAGGCCTGAGCCACCACGCTCGGCCTCTCTCTCTCTTTTTAGATAGAGACAAAGTCTCACTGTGTTGCCCAGGCTGGTCTTGAACTCCTGGCCTCAAGCAATCTTCCTGCCTCAGCCTCCCAAAGTGTTGGGATTACAGGCATGAGCCACCATGCCCATCTGGAGTTGCGCAGTCTTAAAAAGCAATTTTTAAAATTGTCATATGTTTGGAAAGGGAGGGTCTTATTCAAAAAGGCTTGGACGCAGAGCAGGGAGTGGCCGGGGAAGGAGTTGTCTGAGGTGGTGGCTTGGTCAGAACTGCATTTTGGTGAAATCTCTTGCAGGGCCCAGCCATGGTCCAGCCTGAAGCAGGCATTCATTCCGAGGTGGAGGAGCTCCTGGAGCTCCTGCCAGGAGCCAGACCCTGTTCTCAGTGCTGGGCACCCAGGCAAAGTCCCTGCCCTTGTGGACATCCTGGCAATTCCATAGATGTCTGGGAAAACTGGAGAAGCCAGAGAGAAGGGCCTTTGAAGTGGAGCGGGGCGAGCTGACCCAGACAGCCTCACATGCAGGGCAGCAGGGTGGATGGGAGGTGGAGATTGAGGCTGGGAGGCTGGGGGAGGAGGCTGGGGCAGGACCCCCGGAGGAGAGGACAGGCTGGACCAGGTGGAGCCCCGGGGAGGGAAAAGGAGTTGGCGGACAGCCCCTTAGGAGACTAAGCATACGTGCTCTGGACCTGAAGCGCTGCAGCCGGAGGGTGAGGAGGGAGGCGGTGGCAGGAAACATCTGGCTGACTGGGGGACAGTATGATCGCGTTGAGATGAGGCCTGGGAGGAAGATGGGTTTGGGGGAGATGCCAGGGTCCGTTTGGGACATGGTAGGAGTGAGAGGCTGGGGGGCACCTAGGGCAAGGTGTCCAAGAAGCCAGGGAACCCCAGATCTGGGGGCAGAGAGATGGTGTCATGAGTGACGAGGCAGAGGCCATTGGCATGGATGAGGCAGGTAGCCCCAGGAAGCTGGAAAAAGAAAGCAGAGAGGCCCTGGACAGAGTCCCAGAGACCTGCCAGTCCAGAGCTGGGCTGAGGGGAGGCTTTGAGGAAGGACTCAAAGGTTGCTGGAGAGGTTGGCCGAGAGTGTCTGGGGCCTCGAGCAGGAGGGCGCACATAGGTCCTTGCAGTGAGCACTGAGGCTTTGCATTGGAATCATTCCCAGAGTGACTTGGGACATTATTCAGAGGTCCCCAGAGCTGCTGGGAAGGGACAGCAGGCCCATGCTCCAGGGGACCCAGGGACAAAGGGAAGACCCCAGGCTGTGATAATATTAACAGCAACAGCTAGCGCTTACCGAGCACCTCCCCCGCCCCTGGTGCCGCACCCAGCACCCACGCTCCCTTTCCAAGGTGAGGGACACCCAGACTTAGAAAATCAGAGTCACAGCCAGGCACAGTGGCTCACGCCTGTAATCTCAGCACTTTAGGAGGCCGAGGCAGGAGACTTGCTTGAGCCCAGGAGTTCAAGGCCACCCTGGGCAACACAGGGAGACCTCATCTCTACAAAAACACAAACAAAACAAGATTAGCCTGGCGTAGTGCATGCGCCTATGGTCCCAGCTACTTGGGAGGCTGAGGTAGGAGGATCCCTTGAACTTGGGAGGTTGAGGCTGCAGTGAGCTGTGACTGCGCCAGTGCACCCCAGCCTGGGTGACAGAGCGAGACACTGTCTCAAAAAAAAAAAGAAAGAAAGAAAGAAAAGAAAAGCGAAGCCACTCCCGTGAGGTTGTGCTCCTGGGGACTGGCATGGCCAGGACTCCAACCCAGGCAGCCTGTCCCAGAGCCCTCGAGCTAGCCCCAGTGCAGCCTCTCCACCACCCTACACTTCCTCAGGCCACCTTCCTGCCACAGCCTTTTCCCCAAACCTGGTATCACCCCCTCTCCTCCCTCCCTAATCCCACCTCTCGGGCCTGGCCACCCTACCCCACCCCTTCCAGGACTCAGATTCAGACTCTGAGGGAGGAGCCGCTGGTGGAGAAGCAGACAGTGAGTATCTTCCTCGAAGGACAGGGAGCAGGGTTCTGGGGGGCGGGGGGATTTCAGGGCAGGGGTGTGGGTGATACCTCCTCAACTCCATCAGGAGTGACATTCAAAGTATGTAACAGTGGGTTGGGTACCAGTGCCAGAGCAGGCTCCTGGAGGCTCCTGGCTGGTCCAGGCCTCGTGCCTTTAGATGTGGGGAGGCCGGGGACCCCAGGGCTGGGGCCAGGGTGCTGGAGACATCCATGCCCCCTGGCTGAATGCCCGTCCTGCCGCTGTCTCTCGTCTCTCCGGCCAGTGGACTTCCTGCGGAACTTATTCTCCCAGACGCTCAGCCTGGGCAGCCAGAAGGAGCGTCTGCTGGACGAACTGACCTTGGAAGGGGTGGCCCGGTACATGCAGAGCGAACGCTGTGAGTCCCCTGTCAGGATTGGGCCACTGTGCCCGGCTCCTGGCCCCAAGTGACCTCCCATCCCCAGCCACTTGAACCATGTATTGAAACCTTTTCTTTACAAGTAGCAAGAAACACAACTGGAACTGGCTTAAGCCAAAGAGGAGTGTGTTGGCTGTAATCCAGCTTGAAGCACGGCTGGGCCTAGGTGCTTCCACTTTGTTAAAAATCGTAACTCTCTCTGATGCTGCTTTTCTTGTGTCGGGGTAAAGGTAACTCCTGGCAGTTCCAAATGCAGGTTCCACCAACCTAGGAGCTGCCACCGAGAGAGCACCTTCTCCCAGTAGTTCAAACCAAACAGCAGAGATTCGCTCCCACTGATCCAGGTTGAGTCACATGCCTGCCCCCGAGTCTCCGATTGGCCAGACCTGGGTCGCTTCTCCATTGCTGAGTGAATTACTGTACGCTGACTGACCAGGCCTGTTTCATAAAATGGGGATAATGATTATAGTATCTAACTCATAAGGTTATTGGGGGACTAAATAAATTAATATAGGACCAGGTGCAGTGGCTCATGTATGTAATCTCAGCACTTTGGGAGGCTATCGCAGGAGGATCACTCAACACCAGGCATTCAAGACCAGCTTGGGCAACATAGTGAGACCCCCCCCATCTCTACAAGAAAAAAAAATAGCCAGATGTGGGGGCGTTGCCTGTAGTCTCAGCTACTCAGGAGGCTGAGAAGGGAGAATTGTTTGAGCCCAGGAGTTGGAGGCTGCAGTGAGCTATGATGGCACCACTGCACTGCAGCCTGGGCAACACAGTGAGACCCTGACTCTAAAAAATAAAAAAATAAATAAAATTTTAAAAATAAATTAATAAAAATGCAAATGCTTAGAGCAGAGTCTGGAACATAGCGAGAGCTGTGGCAGCGTGTGCCGTGGTTATTACTATAGAAGGCTTGTTTCAGATATGGTGGATAGGTGTCTACTTACTGAGTCACCACAAAATTTATATTTCTTTTTTTTTTTTTTTTTTTTTTTGAGATGGAGTCTTGCTTTGTTGCCCAGGCTGGAGTGCAGTGGAGTCACAATCTCAGCTCGCTGCAACCTCCGCCTCCCGGGTTCCAGCAATTCTCCTGCCTCAGCCTCCCAAGTAGCTGGGATTACAGAAGCACACCACCATGCCTGGCTAATTTTTTTTTTTTTTTTTTTTTTATTATACTTTAAGTTGTAGGGTACATGTGCATAACGTGCAGGTTTGTTACATATGTATACTTGTGCCATGTTGGTGTGCTGCACCCATCAACTCGTCATTTACATCAGGTGCCTGGCTAATTTTTTTATTTCAGTAGAGACGGGGTTTCACCATGTTGCCCAGGCTGGTCTCGAACTCCTGAGCTCAGGCAATCCACCCTCCTCGGCCTCCTAAAGTGCTAGGATTACACGCGTGAACCACCCCGCCTGGCCTGAAATTTATATTTCTTGCCACGAGTTGAGGTCACCGAAGTCTGAGAAACCAGGCCCTCAGCAGTCCTCAACTAGAACAATCGACCCTTTGTGGTTCCTGAGCAGCCTTTTGTTGAGGACGTCTTCTCCAGTGTCCCTGTCCTCCAGCTGCCACCATCTCTCTCCTCGGGCAGCCAGGCCTGCTGCCCTAAGCCTCCCTCTCCTGCGGCAGGCGAGCAGCTGTCTGCAGCCATCTTTTAGCATGGGCAGGCCCCAAAGACAACACAGGCAGTGGCTACAAAGCATTTGTTCCTTGTGTCCTCCTGCTCCTGGATTCTGGGGTAATTGGCTTATGAGGGTGCCCATGAGGAGACTGTAATGAACAATAACAATTAATTGAGGCTGGGCGTGGTGGTTCAGGCCTATAATCCCGGCATTTGGGGAGGTCGAAAGCAGAAGGATCGCTTGAGGCCAGGAGGTCAAGACCAACTTGGGCAACAAGCAAGACCCCTTCTCTGCAAAAATGTAAAGGTGAGGCTCCAACCCTCACCTAACTGCTCTAAAGTTTTATTTATTTATGTATTTATTTTTTTGAGACGGAGTCTCACTCTGTTGCCCAGGCTGGAATGCAGTGACGCTATCTTGACCCACTGCAACCTTTGCCTCCCAGGTTCAAGCAATTCTCCTGCCTTAGCCTCCCAAGTAGCTGGGACTACAGGCGCCTGCCACCACACCCGGCTAATTTTTGTACTTTTAGTAGACACAGGGTTTCAACATATTGGCCAGGCTGGTCTTGAACTTCTGACTTCAGGTGATCTGCCCCCCTTCGGCCTCCCAAAGTGCTCGGATTACAGGTGTGAGCCACCAGGCCCAGCCCTAAAAATTTCTTTTTAACCACTTAATTGAGCCTTCACTATTTGCCAGGCTCTGGGCTCAGCACTTTACAAGTGTCCTATTATTTGATCTTCACATTATACCCATAAGACCATTATGGAAGTGATCTGGACAGAGGAGGAAATGGAGGCACAAAAAGGTAGTGACTCAGTGCAGGGTCAAACAGCTGCCAAGTGGCAGAGTCAGGATTTGACCCCAGGTCCCCTGAATCCAGACCATATATAGCCACCACTGGATTCAACCAGGCCTGGCCCGATGGCATCTCAGAGTTAAAGCTCAGGGCTGAAGCTGTGGCAGGCTTTGTGCTCTGTTCACCTTTGCTGTCCTCCCTTGGACATGGTATCCCAGAGGCATCTGACCCACAGCATGTCACACTTGTGCCTGTCTATCAGCTGATGGGCAGATGCCAGAGTACTATGGCCTAGTGGCTAATCACCAGCCACCAGCTATTTCTGTTTAGCCCTGGGCTCTTATCCTCAAGTGGCCTTTTCTCAAGTCCAAGTTGGTATAATTTCCAACAGTGGATTCTTTTGTTTTTTTTCCCCCTTTTTTTGAGATAGAGTCTTGCTGTGTCACTCAGGCGGGAGTGCAATGGCATGATCTTGGCTCACTGCAACCTCCACCTCCTGGGTTCAAGTGATTCTCCTGCCTCAGCCTCCCAAGTAGCTGGGATTACAGGCACGTGCCACCAAATTAGCCCAGCTAATTTTGTATTTTCAGTAGAGACGGGGTTTCGCCATGTTGGCCAGGCTGGTCTCAAACTCCTGACCTCAGGTGACCTGCCTACATCAGCCTCCCAAAGTTCTGGGATTACAGGCATGAGCCACCGCACCCAGCCCAACACTGCATTCTTTATCCTCTGGCTGGCTCTTCCGCAGTCCATTGTGTGACTTCTTCCCCTATCTGAGCCCCAGTTTGCTCGTTTATAAAATGGGGATGTTAACACCATCCCTCTCTAGATGATTGGAAGGCCCATCACACATCTGAGATGCTTGCCCCAGGGCCTGGCATGGAGTAAACAGTGTCAGGGGCCGTGATGGGTGGTGCTATGATAGGGACTGAGCAAACAGTGTCATATGGTACATAAGTTCCTCTCCTCCAGGTCGCAGAGTCATCTGTTTGGTGGGTGCTGGAATCTCCACATGTAAGTAACCCTACTCCCCCAGAAGCCACCCCCAAGAATTGGGGAGTCCCTCCCAAGGGCTGGGGAGGAGCCCTGTCTGAGCCCTGTCCTGGGAGAGTTAGTAGGGTATAGACCAACTGCTCCCTGACCCCCCTCTCCCAGCCGCGGGCATTCCCGACTTTCGCTCTCCATCCACTGGCCTCTATGACAACCTAGAGAAGTACCATCTTCCCTACCCAGAGGCCATCTTCGAGATCAGCTATTTCAAGGTTTGTGTTCCCCCAGGAAGGGGCGTCTGTGAGGGGTGGGGATGGGGGTCACCTGGCTCCAACCCTCATCCTACCTGGGGCATCTGGCCCTCTGGCTGTCTCTCCTACAGAAACATCCGGAACCCTTCTTCGCCCTTGCCAAGGAGCTCTATCCTGGGCAGTTCAAGGTGAGATCTTTTTTTTGCAGGGGGCAAAACAGGAAAGGTTGGGGGAGGGCACGCATGGGAAGCGCCCCCAGGGCCCTGCAGACAAATATTATGTAGCCATTAAGTACATGGGTGCTGGGCCCAGACTGCCTGCATTCGTGTCCTGGTTCCTCATGTCTTCATCTTACGACCTTGAGCCTCCAATTTGCCTCCTGTGAAGTGAAGCTGATGGTACTGTCTGAAGAGGGCTGCTGCGAGGCTTAGCTGCACCCATGATGCGGTGGAGAGCCTGGGACCCTGCAGCCAGGCTGCCTGGGTGCGAATCGCAGCTTTGCAGCTTACCCACCATGTGACTTTGGCGACATAGTCCCCTTCCCTGTCCTTCCGTTTCCTCATCTGTGATCTGGGGATAGTGGTGGTCTCTCCCCAACACGGCTGCTTTGCTGATTCCCTGGGGGTAAGACAGTCGCAGTGCCTAGAACAGTTCCTGGCACATGGTAGCAGCCTGTGGCTGTTCCCTGCAATCATCGGCAGTGCCGTCGCTCTTCCCTGCAGCCGACCATCTGTCACTACTTCATGCGCCTGCTGAAGGACAAGGGGCTACTCCTGCGCTGCTACACGCAGGTAGGCGGATGCGAGCATCCTGGGAAGAGGATGGGCGGGTGGAACGGGCATGGTGTCCTCAGCGGAGGAGCAGAGCTGCGTGCCCAAGAGCTCAGGCAGGGACTCCAGCAATGCAGGGCCAGGGCTTGGCCTACTGCGTCCTTGCTGCATGACCTGCAGTGAGTCAGGTCTTCTCTGCCTCAGTTTCCCCTTCTGTCAAACAGGGTTTGCCCGCCCTCTCAGGTCTGCAGTGCGGTGGCAGTGACGTCCTCTCAGGGCCATCCCGTGTGTGATGTGAAAGGAGCCCATGGCTGAAGGGACTCTGTGTGCACTATAGGCACCCCAGATTTCACACTGGTTATGAGGGTGTTTCCAAAGTGACTTCATCTAAGAAAATCCATACACTATGACAGGCGTCCAACAAGTAGATGTCTGCCTTAAGGAAGGGGCACCTTTTTATACTTTTTTTGTGCTTTGCCCAATTATAAACATGGCTCAGACATGTCAGGTGCTTAGCCGAGGGCCTCTCCCTGGGGCATTCAAGCAAGGATGGCTCACATTGTTGGAGAGTCTCACAAACCCTAACAGTAAAAAAATCTTGATGGGCTGGGCACAGTGGCTCACACCTGTAATCCCAGCACTTTGGGAGGCCAAAGCGAGAGATCACTTGAGCCCAGGAGTTCGGGACCAGCCTGGGCAACATAGGGAGACCCTGTCTCTACAAGAAATACAAAAATTAGCTGGGCAGGGTAGTGTGTGTCTGTAGTGCCATCTACTCAGGAGGCTGAGGTGGAGGGACTGCTTGAGTTCAGGAAGTCAAGACTACAGTGAGCCGTGATGGTGCCACTGTACTGTAGCCTGGGAGACCTGGTTTGAAAGAAACAAAAAACAAATCAAAACAACAACAAAATGTTACTGCCTCTACCTGTTTTATGAATATGTAGAGAAATTTCATGATGCACTACAACAGTATTCATTCAAGCTCTAGATCACACCTCAGAACCCTGAATTACAAAACAGGTGGCTGGACACAGTGGCTCACACTGTAATCCCAGCACTTTGGGACGCTGAGGTGGGCAGATCACGAGGTCAGGAGTTCGAGACCAGCCTGTCCAACATCATGAAATCTCGTCTCTATTAAAAATACAAAAATTAGCCGGGGTGTGGTGGCACCTGTAACCCCAGCTACTCGGGAGGCTGAAGCAGGAGAATCGCTTGAACCCGGGAGGCAGAGGTTGTAGTGAGTCGAGATTGTGCCACTGCACTCCAGCCTGGGTGACAGAGCGAGACTCCATCTCAAAAAAAAAGGCAGAAGGGTAACATTGAACATAAATAAGTGTTCTAGTGTTTCTCCCTGCACCCGGCAGTTTGGCACTTGCAGCCCCGAAAGCTACCACCAGAGGGAGGAACAACTCGCTTTAGATTCAGATTTCTCAGGTGGGCCAGGTGTTCCCACCTGGGGCTGCTGGGAGGCAGAGGGCAGGGGAGGCCTCCTTCTTCCAAGAGGAGGAGTCCTGTGATCCCAGCACTTGGGGAGGCCAAGGTGGGAGATCGCTTGAGCCCATGAGTTCAAGACCAGCCTGGGCAACACAGGGAGACTCTGGGCTCAGAATAAACCTTCTTCCCAGAGAGTCACCATTATTCCAGGACATGGTTCAGATATGATAACAGCTCACTTGAAGCCAAGTGCTTTCTGTGGTTGATGTCATGACACCCACCCCAAGACCCTGCTGGCCCTTGTTTGTCAGCTTGTGTCAAAGTAAATGTTCACTGAGTTGATTCCCTGTTGCAGGAAGGGAGATGATGGACGAGATGGAGACGCCACATACCAAGTATATAAGATGGTCGTAGGTCTCTGAAACACAGTTAAGCTGGAAGGGGAGTCAGAAACAGTGTATGCGTTTGGGAAAGGGGGTGCTGATGTAAACCCCATCTCTACTAAAAATACAAAAATTAGCCAGGCGTGGTGGCATGTGCCTGTACTCCTAGTTACTCGGGAGGCTGAGGCATGAGAGCTGCTTGAACCTGGGAGGTGGAGGTTGCAGTAAGCCAAGATTGCACCACTGCACTCCAGCCTGGGTGACAGAGAGACTCCGTCTCAAAAAAAGAAAAACAAATGACACATTGCATGCAAACTGTTATATAAAGGCCAGGCACGGTGGCTCACGTCTGTAATCCTAGCACTTTGGGAGGCCAAAGTCAATGTCAGGAGTTCAAGATCAGCCTGGACAACATGACAAAACCCGTCTTTACTAAAAATACAAAAATTAGCTGGGTGTGGTGGCGCGTGCCTGTAATCCCAGCTACTCAGGAGGCTGAGGCAGAACATTCACTTGAACCTGGGAGGCAGAGGCTGCAGTGAGCCGAGGTCACACCACTGCACTCCAGTACTCCATCTGGGGTGGCAGAGCAAGACTCCATCTCAAACAAAACAAAACAAAAACCAATATATTATATAAAGGTGGAAAAAAATGTTCCACTCTCATGTTTCATGAAACCTTTTTTTTTTTTTTTTGAGACAGAATTGCGCTCTTGTTGACCAGGCTGGAGTGCAATGGTGCGATCTTGGCTCACTGCAACCTCTGCCTCCTGGGTTCAAGCAATTCTCCTGCCTCAGCCTCCTACGTAGCTGGGATTACAGGCGCCTGCCACCATGCCCGGCTAATTTTTTATATTTTTAGTAGAGACGGACTTTCACCATGTTGGCCAGGATGGTCTCGATCTCTTGACCTCGTGATCCGCCCACCTTGGCCTCCCAAAGTGCTGGGATTACAGGCGTGAGCCACCGCGCCCGGCCTCATGAAGCCATTTTATTCAAACATGTCACACTGTTCTTCAACCTCAGCCACTTTTGTCACTGATCCAGTTTTCAGGAACACAATATGTTTGCTCATTTTTGAATTGTGAGAATGCAGCACTTTTGAAGCTATGTATGATGCTATTTTTCTCTCAAGACACAAGTATCCATTCAAACATTTAAACAGGTGTCTTGGTGAGGGGAGGCCTTTCTGAGAAGGTGACATGTAAGCAAAGACCTGTAGGAAGAGAGGGAGAGCACCTCGGGGTTATTTGGGGGAAGAGTGTGTTCCGGGAAAGGGATGGTCAGTGCACAGGTGCTGAGGTGAGCCTGTATTCCGCTAGTTACGAGCTTGTTTTCCACTAGTTTTGAGCCTGTATTTGGCTAGTTCAGAGAATCCCAAGAAGCAGGATGTGAGTGAGCGATGAGGAGATTACAGGAGAGAGTGGAGGAGCCAAGGTCAGGGAAGTGACAAAGTTGGATCCTACAGGGCCTTGCAGGCCGCAGGGAGGGACTTGGCCTTTACGCTGAGTGAGATGGGGCCACGGGTGGGTTCTGAGCACGGGAGGGATGTGACCTGACTCAGGCATTCCCAGGCTCCTCTGGCCGTGTTGGGGACAGACTATGGGGGCAGTGAGGAGGGAGCTACAGAGACCAGACAGGAGGCAGCCGCGACGGTCCAAGCAGGAGAGGGTGGAGGCTGGACCAGGGCAGGGGTCATCACCGTGGGGACAAGTGGTCAGGTTATGAATCTGTTTTGAAAATGGAGCAATAGGACTTCCGGATAGAGGGGCCGTAGCCGTGAGAGAAAGAGCCCAGGACCACCTGAGAGCTCACAGCCTGGTGCCAGCTGCTTTGTTCTGAGATGGGGGGAGTGGGGCAGGGAATGGCGCTGGGGGTGCATGAGGAATTGTCTTGTGGAGGCTGAGAGGTTGACCTGGTTGACCAAGGAGAGAGCTGGACTCAGGAGTCTGGACAGAGGATGAAACTGGGGCACAAAAAGGTTGTGCATTCATGCAGGGTCACCATCCGCTTGGTAAGCAGAGAGATCCCAGCTCTGTTCCTGTGTGAGTTTGTTGCTAATTTGTTAGATGATGATTAAACTCACCAGACAGGATGAGAAACTTAGGCCTGGGATGAAGTACTCTGTCAGGATGCTCACCATTGTCACTGTCCAAGTCTGTCAGAAGAAAAACCCATGCCCTTAACCGTGATGGTGCTTCAACAGTGAGCCACTGTCACACCAAAACCAACATAGCTATGTTCTGGGGTCAATGTGACGTACCCAGGCATCTCTCCGCTACTTGTGATATTTAATGTATGGATTTACTACACATACATATTGAAAATGGCATATTGCTGGCTGGGCAAGATGGCTCATGTCTGTAATCCCAGCACTTTGGGAAGCCAAGGCACACAGATCTTTTGAGCTCAAGAGTTTGAGACCATCCTGGGCAACATGGTGATATCCTGTCTCTACTAAAAATATAAAAGTTAGTTGGACATGGTGAAAAACGCCTGTAGTTGCAGCTACTTGGGAGGCTGAGGTAGGATGATTGCTGAAGTCTGGGAGTTCGAGGCTGCAGTGAACTGTGATCACACCACTGCATTTCAGCCTGTGTGACACAGAGTGATCCTGTTTAAAAAATAAAAAAAATAGGCCGGGTATGATGGCACACATGTGTAATCCCAGCACTTTGGGACGCCAAGGCAGGTGGATCACATGAGGTCAGGAGTTCGAGACCAACTTGGCCAACATGGCAAAACCCCATCTCTACTAAAAATACAAAAACTAGCTGGGCGTGGTGGCACGTGCCTGCAATCCTAGCTACTCAGGAGGCTGAGGCAGGAGAATCGCTTGAACCCAGGAGGCGGAGGTTGCAGTGAGCCGAGATCGCACCACTGCCCTCTAGCCTGGGCAACAGAGTGAGACCCTGTCTCAAAAGAAAAAAAAAGGAATATTGTATGCAATATAAAGGTGGAAAAAAATGTTGCACTCTCATGTCTCATGAAAGCACTTTATTCAAACACGTCACCCTGTTCTTCAACCTTAGCCACTTTTTGTTACTGACCCAGTTTTGGGGAACACACTGTCTTTGCTCCTTTTTGAATTGTGAGGATGTAGCACTTTTGAAGCTATGTATGATGCTATTTTCTCTTAAGATACAAATATCCATTCAAACATTTGGATAGTTGTCTTGTCACTCAAGTTGCTGTAGTGTCC